CTGTAACGCGCTCTACGTGGGGCTACCCTTGAAGACGGTCCGGATACTTCAATTGGTTCAAAATAGAGCTGCCAGGCTGCTGACGGGGACTGGGTGTTATGTTCACATGACTCCAGTCCTCCGTCAGCTTCACTGGCTTCCCATTGAAGTCCGGGCCCAATTCAAGGTGTTGGTGATGACCTATAAAGCCCTAAACGGCTTGGGTCCTGGTTACCTGAAGGAGCGCTTACATCCATATATGTCCGCCCACCCCTTGAGATCTGTGGGAGAGGCCCTTCTCCGGGAACCCTCCATGAAAGAAATTAGGAGGGTAGGTACTCGGAGGAGGGCTTTCTCTGCGGTGGCGCCTAATCTATGGAACGCGCTCCCCAGAGAGGTCCGCCTGGAGCCGTCGGTATTTGTTTTTCGGCGCCAGGCGAAGACCTTTTTATTTAAGTGTCATTTTAATTGTTAATATTATTTGATTCTATCTGGCCAGGGCGACTTATTTTATATTGTTATTTTTTGTATTTTAACTTAATGTTTGTATTTTACAAACATTTTAACTTAATGTTATGTAAAGTCAATGTTTTAACTTATTGTTTGTATTTTAACTTAATGTTGTGAGCCGCCCCAAGGTTTCGGCGAATGGGGTGGCATAGAAATGTTTTAATAAATAAATAAATAAATAAATAAATACAAGGCCTCCTGCATTGGCCATGTTAAGTTCTTCTGATGAGAGTGTGACTCGTAATGAGAACTAACGGAGCACTTGTCTTGACAGTTTGTCTTCAAATCTCCCCTCCTACATGATATTCATTAGGTAATTGTAGACCAGTTATAGTTGCTATATTTATGCTACCTTATTAAACTTGTGAAGAGAAACTGAAGTAGTGGTGGGGCATGTCAGCAGTATTGAATTCTTTGGCAGAAGAGCACAAGAGAAATGTTCTAATGCATGGTACCCAACTTCCTGAAGCAAGCAAGAGTCTGCTCTGCATTTACTGTATTACAGGACTATCGTTAATATTCTCTGCATACAACATCCACCCTTTCCAAAAGAGATCTCTGCCATGAATCCTATAAAAAAGAGTGCAAGAGCAATTAAAAGAACATTTAGGAGAAAGTATCTGGTTTGGAGTCATTCTTAAATTATAGATGATGATGACGATGATCCAGGTCCATGTAAAAGAACACAGGATAAAAATACAGTAAATAGGTCCACTCATTGTACTGCTTGAAGTTTAGTACCTATCAGTGTAGGTACCTATTTAGTACCTATCTCTTCCTGTGTTGTGTTTATAGAAGGCCGGGCCCAAAAAGAGAAGAAAGCAGCTCGTGCTCGTTCCAAGGGGAAGAATTCTGATGAGGAAGCACCAAAGACAGCCCAGAAGAAACTGAAATTGGTCCGCATGTGAGTGTTGGGGAAGAAGGAGCAGACTTAGGCACTGGTCTGTTAGTAAATATAGCCTGATCTCAGACCAAATGGTGTCTGCTTCACTCCATACTACATGGTAATAGTTGTGCCAGGAAACTCTGGTAAATTTGGAGGTCATTTTTTGTGTGAAATGCTATACTGGGACATTCTTCCTAGCTAGGAGAGGTCAAGGTAGGAGATCCTGATGTGTGAAGTGAGAGGGAAGGAAGGGTTTTTAATTGCAGGGATTTCTTTCAGGAGATGGAGAAAACCCGTTGGTGGTGGTCAGCCTAATGGTTTTTTTCCCCTTGAAGGAGCACCGAGTATGGAATGCCTTCAGTTACTTTTGGAAACGTGCACCCCTCTGATGTGCTGGACATGCCTGTGGATCCCAATGAGCCCACCTACTGCCTCTGCCACCAGGTCTCCTATGGGGAGATGATTGGTTGTGACAACCCTGATGTAAGAAACTGTCCTGAAATAGAGGGTGGAGAATTAGGGGAACTGTTCAGATTGGCCTGGCAAACATTTTTCCTCTTGATTTGGACAATGTAAAAGTTGCATTTGCATTTAGAGAGCCTTATGAGATGCTTTTTGAAATCAAGATTCTGCAACTTGAATCTTTATTATAGCCATGATTCAGTTTGGCAGTGTAATGCATTAATATACAGATGGCTGGATCCAGGATCTGCCTTCCATGGACAGAATTTAGCATTATCTCAAAATGGCTGCCTGTGGGTCCCCGTGACACCTAGAGTTTATTTTTATTTACTTATTTTTTATTTATATCCTGCCTTTTTCCTGCAAAGGGCTCAAGGCAGCTTACATCATTCTCCTCCTCCATCTTATCCCCACAACAACCCTGTGAGGTAGGTTGGGCTGAGAGTCTGTGACTGGCCCAAAGTCACCCAGTTGGCTCCATGGCTGAGCGGGGACTCGAACCCAGATCATCTGAGTCCCACTCCCATGCTCTTAACCACTACACCACACTGGCTCTCACACTGGAGTTGTTGCATGAAAAAACGTACATGCAAGAAGCTAGAAAGAGACTCTAAGAACAAGATTCTGGATCTGGCCTCTGTCCTGTCTCCTTTGAACCCAGCATCTCTCACAGTGCCTTTTGGTTGGTTTGACCCACTTCTAGCTATCCAAATATTCTTTTATCTTATTTTTTAAAGAATTATTTCCTACATATGTGCATGCTATCTTTTAGATCTTCAACTAGCTCTTTTGTTTTTTCCAATGCAAAGAATAAACATTCATAGAAACAATTTTTGTTAAGGTTTTTGTGCAAGTGAGCAGGATTGGTGCATCACTTAGAGCAGGAGTAGACGATCGGTTTGGATCTGCCTTTGTGGGGCAGCAATAGTTGGGTGCATTTGCCCTCCTCCTTGGAACCTGTCTGCAACCACAGCACTCCTGCCCCCAAATGTAGCCAATCACCTCACTGTTTTTGTTGCACACCTGCTGCTGCTTCTGTTCCCCTCAGTGCAAGGAAGTGGGAAGCTGGCATATTGGGAAGCAATTCTGCCAACTTCTTAACGTCCTCGCTGCAGAGGTGGGCACTGAGTAATCCATGATGGGGAGGTAGGGAAGGAAGTGAAGTTCTTGTGGATGTCATCACCTTTTAGAGACTTGATTTGTTGGTCTCCATGGAAGGCCAGCACTCTTTTCCCCAGCTCTGCACCATCAAGTTCTGCACTGGACTTCTCAGTTCTGTGTTAGAGTATAGATGCTGCATTCTCTTTATATATTTATACAAACCTTTAAAGGTGTGTGTGTGTGTGTGTGTGTTCTGTTATGGATGGATGAGTAGATACCGAATTAGGAGCAGGGTGCTGGGTGGGGAGCTTTATAATGGGGTAACAATTAGTAATTCTGTACAAAGCTAATGAGGGCAAATTGCCAGGGAGATACTGACTTGCATTTCTGTGCTCTTCTATTCTCTAACAGTGCTCCATTGAGTGGTTCCATTTTGCTTGTGTGGGTTTGACGACAAAACCAAGAGGGAAATGGTGAGTGGCTCTCTATTTATTTGTATTTATATCCTTTTTTCTTTTTCAAAGAACTCAAAGTGGCTTATATAATTCTGCACCTCCTCAGTTTTGTCCTCACAGCAACATTCCTGTGAGGTAGGTTGGGCTGAGAGTATGACTGGCCCGAAGTCACCCAGTCAGCTTAATGGCTGAGTGGAGACTAGAATTCAGATCGCCTAACTCCCAGTTCTGTACTCCCAACCGCTACACCACACTGGCTGTCTATAGTTCCTCATAAATCTCTGTGTCCAGACCACTGTTTTGTGACAGACTTGAGGCACTGAAATTTTTGACATCGCCAGAGGAAAATCAATTTGGAGTATCTCTTAGCTCAGGGATGGCCAGCTTGCATCCCGCTGTGGCAACATGTGCAGCGCCACTTGACCCTTGAGACTGCCCCCTCCAAAGCCTCAGGGACCGCTCTCTGTTTGGCAGACTAGCAGGCACACCATTCTGCAGGGACGCAAGGCCTGTGCTTCCACTGTGTCTTGTTTCCTAGTGGATGCACTGGAATTCCAGTGACGGCTGCTTTCTGCGGTAAGAGGCTGCTGCCTCCACAGAGCACGAGGCAGTGGTAGCATGGCCATCCTTGTGCTAAGCAGTCATTAGAAAAGTCTGGCAAAATGCACAGGGGGGTGGCCGTAGGAGGTTTGCACAACCTCGTAGGTTTTGCTCTCACTGCAGAGTAAAGGACAGCCATTCACTCGCATGGGAGAAAGTGATGGGGTGCATTTGGTGAAAAGGGTGGTGGGGTGACCTAGTTGTGGAGAACCATTTCTGTTCTTCTATGTGTAGTCCCTCCTCTTTATCTGTATAGCCTATGGTAGGTGGTGTGGTGCCTGTAGGTGCCAGTGCTTCCCCGGGCGCTTGGTTTGCTCCCAGCCAGGTACCCTACCACATTACCCTCCCCCCCTTTTTATAATACATTTTCTTACCAAAAGCTGGAATTGTTATGAAATGGTTTTCTGTTGGCACTGAGAACCGAGTTTAATGGGCACAGTGTGTGAGACTCAGGCAGCACTTCTTGTACTCAGTCTTTTGAGCAAGTTACTTACCTTTTGCCACACATCGCATGACAACCATTGTTTGGTGATGCCCAAAGGTGTTCAGATGTGTCTGTGACCCAGAAAAGTTGCCTATCCTTTGTGTGGCCCCATTTCAGGATCTGCTTTTTGGTCATACTGGAATTTAATACTGTGGCCAGAGTCAAATCTCCTCTTAAACCAAGTGTCATACACCTACATGCGGCCAGTTTGCTCCTCCCTTCCCACGAGGAGGGATGAAGACTATGAAGCCATAGTTATCCATAGCTTTTCATTACATTGAAACTGGAAACTATGATTGATAAAATAGCTTCATAGAAGAGAACTTTATGCTATGGCTTCATATTTGGCTTTTTTAGAAGTCATTAGAAATCTGGTTACGATGTGCAGTTCATTGTCAGGCCTTTAGATGTTTGTATGGCTGTAGTCCTGCATTAATTGCTGTTACCCCAATTTCTGGTGCCATACTTGGTGATTTTTTCACCCTACCCTACCCTAGAGGGAAAATATGTTGTGCCTTCTCAGTTGCCATACGTTTTAAAATATGGTAATTTGTGTCTTTCAAATGCTGATATCCACAGAGAGTTTGCTCTGCAAAGCACAGGCCTTATTCTCGTCCTCGTTGTATTTTTCCTTGTAGATAGACTTTTGCTTCAAAATGTTTCACACAACCCTTACGATATTTCAGCGCCCTTTGTAAAAAATCAAAGTGCCACCTATTCATACTTCTTCCCTAAAAGAACAGGAGTAATTTGTACCACAGTGGTAGGCAATGGATTGTGCCCCATGGGTTAGACATGACTGCCTTCTGTGTAGCTCATACCTTGTTTTACCTCAATTCATAGTTAGGCCATCTTCTGTGAATGACTTGCCTAGTATAGTCAAGTTATACAAAAACCGAGTTATATTCCTTGACTTTCCATTTGCAGAGTTGGGAATTTCTGAATATACAATTCTAGATGCCTTTTTTCCAAGTACTATTTGTCTCCCATTTACTGCTTTGCCTTGTCTTCTATAGGTTCTGTCCTCGCTGTTCCCAGGAGAGGAAGAAGAAGTAAATTTATATCTTCTGAGATCCAGATACTGTTGCCAGAACACAAAACCCTGTTCCTGGGCTTCAGTATTCCTCTCCCAGTTCCTGGGGCCTCATAGTTAGGGGGTCTCACCCTGGGTGAGCAGAGCTACCTGTGAATGGTTTGTATCCGTATGATGGTTCCCGTGTGTACTGAAACACTCGCTGCTTGCTGTTGAGAGGGAGATGGAGTTAAGCCCTCTTTTTCCCTACAGCCCTTTACTCTCCATAGGTTTCAAAGCCTGTATCCGCTTAAAGAAACCCAGACTTGTTGGTGGGAGAAGGAATGACACCCGAATAACTAATAGAAGAAACAAAATCTGCCCTCCAGATTTCCTAATATGTGTCCCAGAAGAGGGGCAATCAGGCCAGCCTTTTATCCAGTAAGTGATCTGAGAAGAGTGGCTTTTTACTCCTTCTCTTTCCTCACAACATTCCATTTTTCAAAGGGAGAGGAACCATTTAGAGCCTGCTGGAATATTCCCCATTTTCTTCATGGGCGAAATCCTCTGCAAGGTGAGACTGCCCCCCTCCCCACCTGCTGAAAGAGGTGATCATGGATTTTGTTGCAGAGGACAGCCAGGCTCCATTCCTCTCTTGGTGGTGCTTGTTTTGTTTTACAACCCCATGTTGTAAAATATGGCATTAAATAAAGTAAATTCAACAAACTCTGGAGTGATTTCAGTTCTGAGTACAGGGTGAGATTAACTGGTTAGCAGCCAGTTCTTCTAGCTTTGGTGCTTTAAAGCTTTGCTTTGTCATTAGAAAAACATTCTTACAGAAATACTGGATCAATGTCTATTTGCCTGGTGCCATAAGGGAAAGCTATCAGAATAAGAGTCTGAAGAATAAAAAAGGAAGGGGAAAAAGCAAGCAGCTAGGTGCAAATTGATAGCTATGCAGGATAGAACCTTACACAAGAAGGAACTGGAAGGAATGTAGCAAGAGGTGTCCTTGCTAATTTTTAGATATGAAGGACCTGATGTATAAAGAATGTCTGTTAGCGGTCTTTGACTGCTTTTTCTGCAATCCCACCATTGAAAAGAAATTCTACAAATTGTTTATTTTTTTTTATAGTCAATCATTGATTCCTGGGTGGTATTACCCAACAAGCAATAAAATATGGAACAGTGTACAATAATTATAGGCAGGCCTTACAAAAGTACTTAAAAGGTTTGGGAGGATAAAAAGCCTTTTTCTGAAAGATACAGTAACCTTGAACTGGATTTAGAGGCTAACCAGCAACTACCAAAGATCTTTTCTTCATTGAAACATGTGGCAGGAAGTGAAGTGGAATTCATGACTGATGAAGATGATGAACAGTGACTAGCTGCTTCACCTATTTTGCTTATCAAACTGTCTAAAATATTCTTGATAAATACCTTTGGTTTTACTGTAAATGGCTTATCTGCAGAGGGTGACCATGTTAGTCTATTGTAGCAAAAACAGCAGTCTTGGGACATAAGCTTTCATGAATTGTGGTGCATTTTATCAGACTTGTACAAAAAGTTTCAGCTTACAATAGGGGGTGGGAGGGAAGGGGGCAAAGATTGTAGCATTTATTCAATTAGAAGGTCTAATGCTGTTTTGTTACAGATTTTAATGTTACAACAAAACATTAGGGGTTCATTCTCTTGCACAACATCTTTTAATGCCATCTTCTGTTACCAAAGCACTTCTGATTTGTAAATGGGTTACATGGACTAATCTCTATGGAAAGCAAATACATGGATTTGGATGTTGACAGAAATGGCAGGAGAGGAGAACCAGCAGGGGAAACACCTTCAGCTTCCCAAGGACACATTTATCATTGACCTTAGTTTGTCATTGTTGAGCAAAGAAATTTCAAAGGGGAGATCAGAGCAAAAACATTGATCAGATTGAATTCACCAGTAGGTCTAACTCTGTTGCTAGAAGCTTGAATCTGGATGAAAGATTTTATCATGCTGTATATGTTAGTTGGCTTAAAGTCTAACGGTATTTCTATTGCCAGAAGCAACACACGTGACCTTTACTAGCAAAGTGATGACCGCTGTCAGCTCTTCCTACATATATTTTTGTTTTGACTTCACTGTTTACAGTTCTAACCCTATGTACTGTATGTAAATCTGGAACTTTCTGTAGCACTCCATGGATATAATGATACGGGCTACAGTCCACAAAAAGCAATGTCAGAATGTTAACTTTTTAAGGTGCCACAACTCTACATCCATTAAAGAAAGGAAAAAGTGTGTGGATTCTCAGGAGCTATACTGGTGAACACATTGTTGCTTGAAGTTGAATTCAGGTATGTTGAACTCAATCATTCAAATGTCAGCACCACCTTTGTTTAGGCATGCAAACAGCTGGAGATTATGTAATTTATATAATTTTTCCTAGCATATGGATGGATACTCAGATCATAGTATAAAGCAGTCTCCTGGCTGCCACTTTACTGTGAGTGGCAATATTTGTGTGTGAAAACTGAGCCATAAATGGCATATGAGAGAAGAAAGCACAAACCTAAATCTTAGCTGATCCCATTTGGAAAGTGGCTGCTTCACAGAGAACTAAAGTATTAATATGGAATAAAAAAACTTCAGAATGGCAAGTGTTCTACAATAGTATAACTTAAAGTTGTGGCAACCCAGATTCAGGCTGAACGTCAGGAAAAGCTTCTTCACTGTCAGAGCAATACGACAGTGGAACCAGCTGCCTAGAGAGGTGGTGGGCTCTCCCACACTAGAGACATTCAAAAAGAAACTGGACAGCCATCTGAGTGGAATGGTGTAATGTGGTGTCCTGCAACAGCAGGGGGTTGGACTTGATGGCCTTCATGGCCCCTTCCAACTCTGCTATGATTCTCTTGTCCATGAGCAAGCCATTTGCTACTATTCTCTCAATGGAGATTGCATAGATTTTCCCATCAGAGTGCTCATGATTAGTTAGATCTGCCTTCCATTGTTAATGACAGCCAACACCTGGTTCCTAAGATAGGTCTAGCTTACCTCTGTGGCCTTTCCTCTGGGCATAGTCTCTCACTACTCTGCTTCACCCTTTCTTAGCTCACCTTGGCTTCCATTCCTCTTGCTGTCCTGCAATGGCTCCAACTGTGAGGTCATCATGTTCTTATTCCACCAGCTTCTGGCCTGATTAGCCTTTGACATGGGCAGTGTGTCGGTGGGAAGTGGGGGGCTGCCATACGGGCAAAATGACAGCGCTGAAGCTAAAGTCTCCACCATGGGCCTTCCTGGTGGGTGAGTGACTGGTGTGTTTGTATTCCAAAAGCAACTTGCTTTCCCATCGAGTTTGACTCAGCCCTGTAACTGCCATTGCCTGACTAGCTCGCTGTGTGTTCTAGACCTTTGCTGCTCTTGCAAGGGCTCCACTAATGTGGGGTGTCAAACATCAGGCAGTGGGCCATTTTCCCAACATGGCCCACTGTTCTGATCTTTACTGTATTTCCTACATATTACTCAGGGAACAAGTAGGAAGGCAAAGGGGTGAACTATCATGCTGCAAGCTGGAGGCAGAACTGATTGTCTTGGCCTAAAATGGAGCCTAGGTAATTTCTGATTGGGGAATTTGCCCTTCCATTTTAGTGTGACACCCCTGTGTTAATACTGCTGGCAAAGATGAAGATGCTACAGAAAGTTTTTCCCCTCTCCCAGTTTATAAGGCCACCACCTGACAGAGGCTCTCCATCTTTAACACCTGCCTGGAAAAAAAAACGGTGGATTGAATGTTAATTATTTTAAAAATCCTCTTGATAACCACTAGTTCACACTGAACAGTGAAATTATGTTAATTCTGTTTATAGGAATGTTAAGTTTTAAATCCTAACTGAAAAATGTTAGGTTTTAAATCCATATAGCATAAATTTGGGTTGTGGGGTGGGGCCAGTGACATCAGAATATTTAGAAACGTTGCATCAGTTTTGGTCAATAGGTGGCCCTCTTCTACATTATGTAAATGGCAAGTGGTTATTCAGAAGAAGAAAGAACAAATTACCGCAGAACTGCTGTCTATGTTGTTATACGGGAACCTACAGGCATTACTTTTTTTGAAAGCTGCCACTTAGTAAAGAAAAATAGCTTTTGAGAAAGGAGACCAACGGGGCAATCCTCTGCATATTTACTGAGAATCAGATGTTCCATGAGACTTACCCCAGGGAAGTGGGCATAGTGAGACAAGTTACTTCTAGTGCCCCACTTCCAGAATGCCATCTGCAATTAAGAAGAGCATATCTTGTGCTGGTGTTGCTTCTGGCAGTTAATACCAATGCCTTTAAAAGATCTTAGTGCAGTTATGAATAGCCACTTGATACTGTTTGCCGCCTGTCCTCTGATTAATATTTTCTCTTGCTTGTGCTACTTTTTCCTTCAGGCTTTCCAGTCTTTCTGATGCAGTTGTTCCCAAGTACTTTGAGCTCAAAGCCAGGCAGCCCCCTCACAATGGAGGAGTATAAGGTCTTTTTCTCTTCCTTGAGGCCCACATGGAAGGCAACCTTGGTGTGCCAGATCCGACGTAACAAGGGTTGCCACAATCTTCAAATAATGCAGCTGGATCAGTATGAAAATCATGGCCAGATCCCTGAGGGTATGTGCAGATTGCCGGGGTGGGGGGTGCTTCAGATTCCCTCCAGCACCTGTTTGTGGTGAGAAACTCTGGTTGCACTTATGTTTCCTATACATACATAATTTCATACCCTTTTTGTGGATGAACAAATTTCCCAGATGCCCACATGGGTCTTAATAACAATAGTCTTCAGCCTTTCCAAACCAAGGGTTATCCTTTGACCCCAGTGTTCTCCATTAGATCCAGTTTTGATTGTCTCTCCCCTTTTCTTTCTCATTTTATGCCTTTCTTGGGTTGTTTCCATACTACATACTGGTTTTACATTAATTCATTTTCTCTTAGGAACCCTAGGAGTTGTAGTTCTGTGAGGGTAGGGAGATTATTAACAAAGGAACTCAAGCACCTTTAGGTTAATATGATAGCTTAGTACAAAACTGTACTAAGTACAAAACTTAGTACTGTACTTAGTACAAAACTTAACTTTAGGTTAATATGATAGCTTAGTACAAAACTGGTCTATAAGATCTTCCTTCCCAGTGGATTGTTGTCCCTTCATTCTTTCACTGCCAGCCCCAGAAGCGTAACTATTTCTTGTATTTGCATGTACATATCAACACCCCCAATCCACCTTGGGAATGGGCTCCCATCTTCATTCATCTGCACTTCCTAACATTTTTGTGACTTGGAAACAAAATGTGGTAAGAGTGTTATTCTATCTCTTACTGTATTTAAGATAATATGTTTGAAGTTAATATTTGAAAAAAAAGATCCAGTGGTATAGACGCAGGCTTAATGGAAATTAATGTGGATGGATAATTACTGCAGAATGATCTTCATTTCCAATTCAAAAGCCATTGTTCTGATTTGCCTCTGTTCAGTGTTGGATGGTATCTACTTTTCCCTGCTTTTCTTCCATGTTAAAGCTTTTCCTACATCGTTTGCTTCCAGGTCCCATCTGTGCTGACCTTCCAGAAGTCTCACATTTTGAGACATTTTGCTTATTTGCACAGTTTCGGTGCTTAAATCAAAAGTTCTACACCAAGGTGAGGAGAAAGGCATTATGATGGTGTCAGGAAATGCTCAAATTACAGAGAGACCAGAAGGTTCCTGCCCCTCCCCATCTTGTCATTCATAGATGATGGGGGAATGGCTTGGCCAAAATTAGGTGGGAGCCAAGAAGAGACATTTGTGGATTTCATTAAGGGCCTCTCATAATTTACCTAGACTGCGTCACTTGCACCCTTTAGGACGGTAAACCCAAAGGCATGGCCAGGCACAGAACAGGGTCCAAGCCGGGATGCCATTCAGACAAGAGCTGAGATAAGAATGCTGGCGAGAGATTCCTGAAGCACAACAGGGAGTACCCAGAGGAGGCTTTTATTGTGTGATCTGCCCTACTTCATTTATGGAACTTTATGAGGATCTAGACAACATTGCCCTCCATTTGCAGCACCTGCCCCCAAAAGTTGCTGTTTTCTTAGTAGACTCCTTTCCAACTGATCTGATTTTTTACCATGGATATTGAGACATTCCAACTGGATAACGGCTGTGGAGCATTAGAATTGATGGTGGATTTGATGTCATTCTTGCACAGTGAACTTTTAAACAAATGCATCCCAGTGGTCTACCACTGTACCTTAAATTTACAAGGCGAGAGTGCATGGTCCATATCTTATGGAATTAACACACAGCAGGCTCTGACTAAAGGTCCAGCTAGCTCAGTGTTCTTTGCAACAGTCCCAGCAACCAGCAGAAACTAGAAACTCCACTGGAATTGGCTAACAATTTCACAGCGGACCATGATCTACCCTGTTAAAATGTACTCGATCACCCTCCATGAGTAGCCGTGAATTACATCGACAATTTAAATGAATAACAAAGAGGCCAGAATAAGTTCCCTCTGCCATTATGATCTTGTTTTTGTGGATACTATACCAATAGATGCTGTAAAATTACTAAGTCCCTCATTTAAATGCACCTGGCAAGCATAACATCTACAAGTCCCTTAGATGCACCCCTGCCAGCACCAGTGCTGCGGAGAGAAAGGCACACTGTGGGGTTTACACAGGGCAAGGAGCTTTTGCTTGATGCACCCCTATTTGTAGTTCAACGTGTGTCTGCATAGCTGCAATGGCCACCTTTCCACAGGCTGGGCTACAAGCAGCAATCAAGAGGCAGGGGTGGTCTCTAGGTGCTAATATTGTGCAATGGCAACCCCCGCCATAATTTCCTTAGACAGTCAACGCTGACTGATTTGCTCAAAGCTGGTAACAAACTGACTGGGCTCAGACAATACGACCCAGTAACAACCCAATTGTTTGTTTTCATAAGTGGGTTGTCGTGTCATGTGAACGCTCTGTTGTCCATGGGCTGTTGTAGAGTTATGTTCAGTGTCTTAACAGGCACAGCACACCCCACCATAGGTGAGAAACTGTTGCCAGCAAGCCACTTGTTTCGTGGCAAAATTCCTTTTCTGCACTTGCCAAACAGCGGCGTCATTCGTGACTGCCTTTGCCGGCTGCCCCCAGAGGGCCCAATCAGCACTTGGAGGCAGCTGGTTATAGGCTTCCCTCCCTCCTGCTGAGATCACTAGTTCTGCAGGTAGTTACAGGGAAAATAATGCATTGGACCAGTTATGAACTGTGAAGAAGCAAAGTTCTCCTAAACACACATAAAGGGTAAATAAGGATCCTTATTGGAGAGTATACCACTTGTCTACTAAAGCACTTGAGGTAATGAGTTGGAGTGGACTCCGGGGGATGGTGGAGGACAGGAATGCCTGGAGGAGTGTTCTCCATGGGGTCGCGATGGGTTGGACACGACTTTGCAACTAACAACAACAAGTTGGAGTCACATTTGTGGGAAAGAAGAGGAGTGGCGGGGATTTGACATGCAAGACACTGTAAGCCTAATTCCTCCAATTCTCCCCCTTCCCCCCCTGAACAGCGGATCCATTGTCCCAACGAGCCACTTGTTGAGGAGACCGATGTCCTCCCTTCCCCTCCAAGCACGAAGCATTCTGCAGCCCCAACGGAAGTTTCCCTACCATCCCCTGACAACCGCCTCCGCTCCAGCATCGAGGCCATTTTGAAATACTCCTTTGCTGTCTCGGGCCAGGATCCCATGCCAAGGAGCCACTTCCCAGCCTCCCACAATGACTGGGAAATCCTCCAAACCCCTGAGCAGCCAGACCACTCAAACGCCGAGCATACCACATCCAATTCTGAAACCTCTGCCTTAGACGCCAAAAAGCTAAAAGCCACAGAGAGGATCAAAGACCAGTATCTCCACCAAAGCATCAACCATCTTATTAGCACAGCCTTCTCGCTGGAGCACTTGCTGAACTCAAAGAACACAGAAGCTGCTGGAGACACTGAATCAGATCTGAATGCCCAGGAAGAGATTTCAGGAACCAATTTCAAGGGCAGGTAAGAACAAAACCTACTTTGGAGGCCAGCAGATTAGCTGAGATCATCACCCCTGGCATATATGCAATCACACAGCAGCAAAGGCTGGCATGCATGGACAGCCTTGCTCCCAGGTGAGGAGCAGAGAGAGAAGGATGGCCAAATTAAGACTGGCTTTCTTGAATTATTCTTAGTTGAATAAAGATCATTTGCTAGAGAAACAGCCCAGAGTAGAGGATCTGGAGGTAAATGGCTGATGCCACCGGATTATCCTTGTTGGTCCTTCTCATTACAGTCTCATTTACCAGAAATAAAACAAATGACAACACATCAAGCATGACCCAGACAAAACTGATAAGTTTTTAATTCCTTGATTTTAATGGGACAGTTAAGCTTTCACTTTAAGGCTCATACTGAAAGCAGTGGGACATAAATATGATTCACTTGGGCTGGGCCATGCTTGTAAGCCTTACAAGCTTGTAAGGTATTGTGCTCCAAATAAAAGCAAGTTAAACAAAAATCTTGAGATGCAGGACACCGTAATGTTAAAATGATGCATTTAAAAAGCTGGGTGCTTGAAGGCTAACATCCATGCTCACCCACACACTCAACTTTCTCAGTCACAGTTACTCCAGACACTCAATACAAACTAGAACCATGGACTTCACAAGGCAAAATGCTCTAGATAGGAAGTGCCACCACCTTGATCTCAGCCTCACTTTCTGCAGTTGGATCCCCATTTTTCAGTACCTGGAATCATCTGTCCTAGGATGGAATAAATACTAGTACCAGTTCCCTGAATGATGAGAAGTTCCAGGGCCAATGCTGCAGGAAGGCTTAGCTTTCTTTCGACGCTGCACTACTGGAGATATATGGTGTCTTTCTAATATTTGATTTTTAAAAAACAGACTATTGGAAGTAAGCAGACTCCTTTCTGTGTTCATGTAGAAGGAAACATGGGCCTCCTGCCCTTTTCTTCCAACTGCATTTCCAGCTTAAAGCTAAGTCTAGTCACAAATTTTCAAGCCTTTTTCCTCTGTCCGCCCCTTCCAATTCCAAACTGCTGCTTCTCAGGTCCAAACTCCACACCACTGACTTCGTAACGGTCTGAGTCAGAGCAGGGCCCAGAAGGAGGGAGTTTCCACACTTTGCCACCGTAAGATTTCAGTTCTGCTCAGGCTCCCACATCTGCCCTTTCTGTCTTTAAAAGGTTTCCTTCATATACCGGAGAGATTTTCTCAAGGCCAAAAAGCATTCTGATTGGGACCACAGCAGGGGTGGGAATGCAAAATTCTTGAAGTCCCTTCCTCCACCAGAGTCCCAAGGTGGATCAGGGTCTGTGATACACTTAAAGACACCGTTCACACAGTTGCTAGTTGTGTGAATGGCATCTCATCAAGTGCAGCCCTTAGTCAGAACACCTGCAGTGCATCATCTTAATTCCCTACCCAGCAGAAAAATTGCCCATTTCATAGAATGATCTATGACTACTAGAAATCCCCAACACTCTTTAATAAGAGCCCCCTGACCACCCACACTGATCAAGCCAGCCACACTCGCTATGGGATTAATGGAAAGAGAACATGCTGCTGCCCAGGTCTGCATTGTTAGGTAATCACAAGCAATGAGTTTTATGGAACTGTCAGTTCATCTGTAGGTTTTTGATCACCTACCTTCCCTTGCACATACATTCCTTCCTTCCCCCCAGGCAGGCCCTTGAGATGCTTAAATAGCAATACAGTATTATAAAATGTTTTACAGCATTTCCCAGAAGAGTAGCCATGTTAATCTGTTTCGCAGTGGTGTTGTGACACGGTACAAGCAAACTTGTTTTTTCTGGTATCGGGTTTCATGGACACTGCCCAATACATCGGATACATGAGGTGTTACTCTCAAACTGGCACATTTATATCCACATGCTGTGGGGCAAGGGACTGTCGCCATGAAATGAAAGTGTACAGATAGTAATCTTCATTTCCTTTTGTTAATGAAGATAGCAATCTTCATTAACATTCGTCTTCCTTCACCAAACATAATTCTAATCTGTGACTTCTGTTTCACACAAGCAAGTTCTCACTTGATGGAGAGATGGAGAAATATGCACAAGTTTGTCAGTCCTTAGATGTGGTGAATTTATACTTGCCTATAGACTCATGTGCAGACATAATGGTCAATGACTTGCATCCTTTGGTGTCTTATCTAACCTGCAATAGACACTGCTGGCAGAATGTGTTTTCCCTGCCACAAACCCACTCAAATCTACCCCATTGGGAAAACCCTTCCGAGTAGATGTGGTTTTGCAAGGAAGGAAAAGTGGAAGGGGCATTCATACACACCGGAAGGAGACCTCTGTGGAGAGCTATTTACAGGTCCCTTTGAGGCACATGTTTCTTTCTTCACACAGTTTTATACAGCTGAGGTAAATTCTTTCATGAAGTTCTGTATACACCCAGACCCCCAGTTACGAATGTCCAGGTTAAGAACAACCCCTGCAAGCAAACCAACTGAGGAGAGGGAGGGAAAAATAGAAAGAGGAGAAAGGAAGGAGGGAAAGGGAAGGAGGAGGGAAAAAGCAGCGAAATCAGAACTAGTTCCATGGTGGGAGCAGAACTACAGTAGTTTATCATGTTCATGAAAAACTAGGATATCCAAGCCAGTATGTTTCAGATCATGTGGCATTTGTGTTGCTTTCGGTAACTTTGTATTGTATTTGGTTTGTAACAGTGCCTCCAAAGCATAAATCTAATGCAAGTGCAGGGGATGCATTGAAGGAAAGAAAAGCAATCCCAATTGAAACTAAAATGGAAATAAAGCTATCAGAGAAAGCTGAGACACCATTAGTCATTGAGAAAGCATTGGGCTTTAGCCATTCAACAATCAGATTCTCTCTCTCTCTCTTCAGCACCTGGAGTTACTTTATTATTACTGCATTATTATCATTATTAAAATGCTGTATTGTGCTTAAGGTGCTTTAGTGTGTACGGAAGTGTTTCTTAAGTGTATTATATGCTTTGATATATGTGATACGACTTGCATAGAAATTCAACTTAAAGATGATCTCAGGAATGGAACTCATTCTTAACCTGGGGATCGGGTGTAGCTGTAAAAGGCTGTAGTCTTGTGGATTTAAATACGGACCATTCTGAGCTTCAAACGAGACATTCAATATGTATTTACCCTCAGCAACAGCGTGTCTAGTTCTTCACAGTCTCCCTGCAGCACATTTACAGGTTTGTGCCTGCACAGAGCCTTAATTGGGAACCTCCTAGACCTCAGAGGCTTTGGGAAAGCTGACCAAAGGCCGTGGCTCCAACCTTTTGTCTCTCAGAGCACTGCAGCAACAATGCCTGACATCCACACGTACCCCTCCTCTCGCAGCTTGGTGTATGATTTCCCCCCAACTCTGGCATCGCTCCCTCAGGAGCTCTTGGATGCAGCCAGGATGCCAGTTGCTCAGGAAGAGATTTCAGGGGTATGCTAGTTTGCAATTTATGGACACTGCTAATTTGACACTTCCACTGTGTAAAACTGCAGTCTGTTTCCTCCTTGCAAGTTCATCGTGCTCCCATGTCAGCATTTCATATACCAGTGTAGGGTTTTTCACTTTGGTTATGAAGCTCTTCAGAGGTCTAAAAAATTAACGCACAAATACACAACCAGTGTTGATTGCATTTATGGCTCAACCATTTGAGCCTATTGTTACATACAACTGAGGCACTATTCTTCAAAGTTGTGTTTTGTATGACTTCTGCTTTCACCTGGTTGTAGTACTGAGATAAGTGCCATAGCAGTCAATGTACCCTACCTCTTTCTTCACAAGGAGAAGACAGTCCTTTGGCTTGTACAGCTTTTCCCCCAGAGAACGTTCTCCAGAACTTGAACCTGATGACCTGGCTAGAAACATCCATCCACACTCTCAGGGCATGGTGGACACACACCTTGTATATGGGCAGGAGAGCAGTTTTTCAAAAAAAACCCACTGCCAGTCCATCAACTTACCATCTGTGTATTCAGGCAGTCCATGCTTAGTCCCCTCTGCACATGCTCGTTTGCACATGCTCGCTTCCTCTCAGCAACTGAGAGGAAAGTTGGGAGTCGCACCCCTTGGCTGGGGTGAGCTTTCCCACCTAAATGCTTGACTCTACAAGGTTCCCCATGAGAGCTCTGCACAAGTGCCAGCCCAGGTTGTGAAAGCAGTCGTTTGACTGGTAACAGAAGCAACCTGTCACCTCCCCTTGGCCTTGCTAGTCATCCAGTTTAGCGAAACTGCGCACATGCTTCTCTGTAAAACTTTGCACAGCAGCAAAGTTGCCACAGTCACATTTTCCTAACTAGTCACCATGTGCTAGTGGGGATGGGGTGGCAAGGTTGCTATTTTCATCAGCAAATATACAGTTTCTATAAAGTACATCTTTAACCTGAGATGGTAACTCAGGTAGATAATAGCTCCTGAGAGCTTCAGCATCAGAGCTGCCTCTAAACTGGGGAAGAGAACAAAACCAGTGTGGTCCTTCTCCTCTGCTCTAACAGTTTGCTTTTCTCCATCTCTCCTTTGTTGCATTAGCCTCTTAGACCTTAGCAAGGATGAAGCTCTGGTGATCCTCTGCTACGCAGTGCTCCAGGACATCTGCTTATCCTCAGCTGTTAGCAAGGCCTGGAAAGAAGTGGAGGCCAACACTCTAGGCTATGGGGATTTGGTAAGTCTCCATGCTGGGTGTGCCGTCCTTTTCCAGTAGAGTCCAGACCTTGACAAACTTGAGACACATGCAACCCCACACGAAAGACCTGTGCTTTTTTCTTCTTATGAGGCATTTCGATTGGACCATTTTGGGGTTCAAGCCAGGAATAATGTGAAGATCAGAACAGGCATAAAGTGATTGTGAGAACTGGCACACTGGGAAAGACTGATACTCACTTCCCCCAACAATGACTTGTCACATGGCTCAGAATAGTCTAGGTAGACCATTCTGAAAATCTGAACTTCGTTCTGTTCCTTCTCGTTACTCTGTCGTTCTCTAGATATGCGATAACCTTGGCCGACGCCATACAGATCTGTGCCCTGAGTGTGCATTCTGCTCCCTGAAGATGGAGCAGTGCCAAGGGGCCTCTGATCTGAGACGGATCCACTGTGGGGATGGCATATTCACAAACTATATCAACCCTGGGATTTTGGCCCAGCACCAGGCCATGGACCTCCTGGTAAGATAAAGGGTTAAGTTGCTAAGATACTGAAGAAAACTTCCTTTGAGGACAAGTTCTCTTGTGCCAAGTCTCCTCTTTCCCTATGTCAATCCGCAGGACTCCCCAGTCACAGGAGAGTATTATGGGACTGAAACATATGGGGGCCTGCGTGCAGAGTATTGGTGTGGTCGCTTGGCAACTCATGGCTGTGACGATTTTCGTGTAGCGCTTTGGCTGCAGTCAGAATATTCCCTCTTTCAAGGGGGTGATTTTCCAGACAAGGTAAACATTAACAGAAAGCCCGCCACACCCTTATCGCATGTCTTTTTGTCATTCATTCTCCCACTTCTGTCATTTTCCAGATCTGTGATTCGACAGGAGTTCAACATCCTACTTACTGTGCATTCAAGAGCAATCAATGTCTGACATACAACCTCAGTAATAAGAAGGTGAGAACTCATTGTTTTCCCCCAGAAACGCTAAAGCTTTTCAGTAAATCTTTTTTTTTTTTTTTTTAGGGAGGAGGCCATCTATTTGATTTCAGAGTTAACCATGCCCTGTTTTTTACTCTTCCATGCTCTGCTCTCGTTCCTCTTCAGAAATCAAATTGAAAAGAGGATAAAATGGCCTCTTTTCTGTAGCCTAGAAGAATCCAGCAGGGCCCATCCCTATGCAGAAGATCTCACAATATCTTTTCTCAGAAATATATCCCAGTCATTAAGGCTCAACTTTCCTCTGCTACACTCTGTTTAAGTAACAGCTTCCTTGTCTTTTTTTAAAGTGATCAAGTTATTATTTCCTGTTCACAGCAGTGCACCTGCATTGGTCTTTATCACTTACTTTTGGAGGGGGAGGTAATTATTGGTTTCCTCTGTGCAGTCAGGGTAATAATTTATCATTTTTATTAGTTTTCTTCATTCATATATACTGTTTTAAAATGCTTTTTTCCCAAAGAGGCTCACAAGAGAAGAGAGCTAATCATCCATTAAAAACATGGTAACTAATATATCAGCAAAACACATAGCCTTCAAGAAGAATAAAATCAATCATGACAAGACTGATGGAATAACAAGAGCAGTATTATTAATGCTATTGGAGCCTTGAGGGAACAGGAAACAACTAATTGCTGCTTTAACAGAAAAGGACATTAATGCTGCTGTTAATGAAACACACAGTACCCCTGAAAAACCTCAGTTGTACTTTGGTAGTCAATTTAGAACAGGATGGTGCCACAACTGCATATTTAGACAAATCAAGACTGGACAAAGAGGAGGACAACACTGGAAGCTTTAGAATGCAGTACGTTTGACATTACTTTGGTTGAATTTGTCACCAAAAAGTGACTGAGCAAATATGCCTATTCCAGACTAAATAGCTGGTTTGCAGGCAAGTGTTCTTGCCATTTTACGTGCCAGCCTGAAAATGACTTGTCCTTCTTCTAGTAGCCTAAGAAATAACAGTAGGATTCAATCTAAGAGATTTTGTCCAAGAAAATGAGAGTGTTGCTATCTTGGTTGTGGTGTGAAATATGTTTTTTCAAGAAACAAAAGCATCTGTTGGATATTATATAAGATCAAGCATGGCCACAGGAAGGGGAAGGGGGCAGTTGCCCCCATCTATGGGTTACTATCTCCAGATCTTTAGCTTTCATTAAAAAAACAAGATTTGTTTTAAAAATTCATTAAAAGTGGGGAGGGGGGGATCCCTGTAGAACCTGAGGTATGAAGGAAAATGGGCAGCCACTAATCCGCCTTTTTGTGAGAAACTAGCATGTTCAGCCATTCAGTGTTTTAGTCAATGAATGCCGCAACAGCCGCTATCTAAATAAGGGACTTCCTGGTTCATTTTAAAGTCTTTTTGTAGTCTTCCCTGCTAAGTAATTGTACTCTTATCATCAACATCATCATGAGTAAAAATCCAGAAGTTTAGTGGTGCTGAGATTAGACAGTAGTGTATCTACCAAAATCAAAACGTGACAGGAAGGGTTGGAGTTCACAATCGGTCTGACTCAAGTCCTGCATTCCTTTCTTTGTTTCTGAAAGTATAAACATTAAAACAAATTACCAATGTGTGCAAAAAAAGTAGACATGGGAGGGGGAAATTTGGTACACAAATTGCTCAGCTAGACAGGGTGCCCAAGGTTTGTTACTTCTCACCAGATTTACCAGAAACGGTGACCTTGCTCTCTAATGCTATCAAGTTTTTTTTTTTAAATGTGCAGCCAGGAAGGAAAATAGGTAGTTCCCAGAAATACAGGCAGTTCTAGCTAAACACCGCTGCAGTTCAAAGTTCAATCCATGTAGTATTAGCTGCTGTACAAAATGGCTGATAATGAAGTACAAATAAAGTGAGTGGCCCAGACTCCTCTAGAACCTTAAACCCTGATCAAGCATGCCCATTTCACCTCCTAGTGCTAAAGACTCCCCCTACAGGTGTGGCTGCCGCTGTCTAGCATTACCTTACCCAACCTGGTGCCCTTCCGACGTTTCAGATTCCGATTGCCACAGCCCCAGCTAGCATGGCCAATGCTCAGGAATGCTGGGAATTCTTCTGACACCAAATCCAGTTCTCCTTATGTTCTGTGTACAAATAGAACAGATAGGGAAATAAAATGCAACCTTGTCTGACACCTTTGCCAATAGGAAGCCCTTCTGTTTCTTCATCTGTCCGAACCCTTGTTTCTTGTCCACAGTACAGGTTATGCATCAAGACAACCAAGTGCAGAGGCACCCCCATTTTTTTCAGAACCATCCACGGCGGCTCCTGATCCACACAGTCAAAAGCTTTGCTGTGGTCTGGAAAGCAAAGACTGGTCCTCTGAAATTCTCTGGTTTTCCCCAGTGCCCAATATACATTTGTGATATAATCTCAAGATCCTCTTTGTTTCTTGCATTCAGCTTGAGCATCAGTCATTTATCACTCTATACAGGGCACAATTCTCTGTTGCAAAACCTTGAGCATCACTGTACTTGCACAGGAAATTAGTCCAAGGGCCCGATGGTTGCTGCACTCCTTTCCCTCACCCTTCTTGGGAATTGGAATATTTAGTGAACATTTCCAGTCTGTGGGTCTTTGTTCTGTTTTCCATACTTGTGGGCATATTCTTGTTAGGATTTGGACCGATACAGTCTCTGTAGCTTGGAATAATCCTTCTGCTGTTCTGCTAACACACCACATGTGTTATCACTTCCCAGCATGTTCAGAGAGGTTTTCATTTCACTTTCTTTCTGCAGGTTCTTCCTTATAGGATTCCTCTCTGAAGGAGTATGTCATCCTTCTCTATAGTTGTTTAGTATATTGTTTCCACCTTCTCTTTATTTTATCCTGGTCAGATTGTATGTTCCCTGTTGGTCTTCCAGCATTCCTAGTCTAGGTTTAAATTTCCCTTTGTTTTCTTGGATCTTCTAGAAGAGGTCTCTTATTTTTCTTCTTTTATTGTTCTCTTCCATTTCTTTGCACTGGCCACTGTAATAACATTTTTTGTCTGTACATGCTAGTCACTGAAAAGTTGCATTCAGGATTCAGGCCCTATTTCTATTACTTTTGCTTCTCCTCTTTCCTTTGTAATTGTGAAGCTTTCTTTGGTCATCCATCTAGGCTTTCTTTTGTTCTTGCTACAGAAGTTGTCTGTTGGCATTCTTCCCTACTATCCCCTAATGTCTCTGGTTTCAGTCCACTACACTTTTGGTTCATGACCAATTGAGTTCAGTAATGTAAAGCTGTTCTTTTTGTGAACATAAATTCCTCATAAATATTATTTTCACACCATGCTTCTGTCAGTGATCATTCTCTGCTTCACTTTGATTTTTGATATTTATTATGTTAGTCTGCCTCTAATCTTGCTTTGGCAGCAAGAACAGACACTGTCCACCTCCTACCTCCAATTACATAATCCACCTGAATTCTGTATTGGCCATCTAGTGATGTGCATACATACAGTTCTTTGACTGGCTACCTGAAGTATGTATGGCTTCACACAGATTCATGAGTAATTTTTCTGCTTTGTTTCTAACACCTAGGCCAAATTCTCCCACAGCACTGGATTCTGCTCTGCTTCCTACTTTTGCATTCCAGCCACCAATAATTATCAACATGTGTTATCAATTTTCTCTTGGATACTTGCATAAAAGTTTTCAATATCTTCTTCTTTAGCATCTCTTGTTGGCCTGTAGACTTGAATTATGTTTACACTTATAGGTTTTCCACGAATTCCAATTGACATAACTCAAACAGACTTTGCGTTATAGCCCGTGACTGCCAGTGCTGCATCTTACCGTAGAGACACTTTACTTCTTCTGAGTTTATTATTTCCAGAGTAAAACACTTGGATATTGGTCAATTCCCAGGAACTTCTATCACTCTGCTTAGGCTTCTAGATAACTTGGAATGTGGCACTGAGCAGCAAAACACACAAAGAAAGGAAAATGCACAACAACAGGTGCACACTGTGTACATTAAGGAGAGCCACAAGTATAGACCCCTGTCTCCCCAGGGAAAATTCCTCTGGATTCCCATGTATGAGATGCTCTGTCTATTGAACCATAGATAGATAGATAGATAGATAGATAGATAGATAGATAGATAGATAGAGTCTCATTCAAATAACTTGGTAGCTGTGAATTCCCTTGCTATCTTTAGTTGAAAAGAACAGAGCAGCATGGGCTGAGTGCTGAACTAGGACTCTGGGGATCCAGGTTTAGTCCCCATTTGGCCATGAAGCTCCCTGGGTGGGCCTGGGACAGTCACTGACCTACATCAGAGGGTTGTTGTTGTGCAAATAAAATGGACAACTTGTAAGCCACTTTGAGTTCCTTGCAAGACGAGAAAAAGGCAAAGTGTAGTGGTGGCGGCGGTGAAAGCTACCTTACTTTTGTTGGATCATGCTCTATGAGTGCTTCCAAACAATGGTGCTTCCAGACACCTCTACCTTGTCTCATTCAACCCAGTTTTATCAGGTGTGGTCCAGATGTTATCATCTTCTGCTTTTAATCTCCTGTGTTTCCCCACTGTGTTCTCTCTTTTTTCCCTTAATCTGAAAAACATGGGAGGGGGGGAGAGATAAACACCTGAATGATTCCTTCTAGTTGTTAATGCTAGAACCCCTAGATCTGGAAGCACCCTTAACCTCTCTGCCATTCACCTTTAGCACATCATCACCTCTGTCTTCCCACCTGCAATGCCTCTCTTTTCTTCCAGAGTGTCCAATTTCAACCACAGCCCCAGAAGTATTCAAATAGATTCTGGGTTTCACTAGGTCAATTTGGGAACAGGTGGTTCTTCAGGAGTGAAGAAGTCAGCCATAATGTTCTGTTCTATTTCTTCCACACTTTGTCCTCAGGTGTTACGCGCTGGCTGCTTAAGAAATGAGACATACCAGGTGCTGAGCAAGGAGGAAGGGGAAGATGAAGTACTGCTTTGGAGCCAGAAGTTTTTGAGCTTTGGTGATGGGTGAATGAATTAAAGAGCACGAAGGAGTAATTCTGACGAAGAGGAGTGGGAGTGGGAGGACAGAGGAACAGCAGCCTGGTGTGTGGCTCTCACCTTGAGGAAATTCTCTATTGCACAGTCTCTGCTGCTTACCTACTTAGAGCCCTTTCTGCAGATGGCTTGGTGTTAATTTAACTGTGAATATCCCTGCTGTTAAATCTTCTTCACAGCCCACATGCAACAACTGCTATTTACCCAATCCTGCAGGCTCCTCTGAAACTCTTCAGTTGGGAATATAATCCAAGAGAGAAAAGCAGTTGATGAGAAGTCCTAGTTTCCTCTCCAGCGATCCTCCCTCTCACGCCTGGAAGCAAATTCATACATGAACCTCTGCTATGTGATATGCTTTGTATTCTTATTCATAAAGAGCCTTTTCATTGCACAGTTAGCACTTGCTTTTGTCCAGCTCTGTGCCATTCCTCCCATTGTTGTGTCTTAGTATTTTAATACATTTTAGTATCATCCTTTGCACACATTATTTTCTGTGTTAACCCTTCACATTTCCAAGGCTTGTGTCCATGTTCACATAAGCTAGAATGTAGCAGTGGTCAAATCTACCCATGTGATGTTTGGTTGCCTGATTTTCATCTTGCTTCTTTGTTCCAAACTGGAATTAGCTTGTTATTTTCAACCATTTGAGGAACTTGCCCCACTTCTGCTTTTTAAAATGTCGGTGAAGGAAAGGGATTGAGCTGGCTTGGCTTTACTCCAGGAGGTTCTCCCATTCGGGGAGGGTGAGGAGCCAGCTCTGCTTGGATGCGGAGGTGTGCACGGGAGCTCTCCCAGCCAAGGCACAGGGTCGATCATCCACCCAGTTGTTTAGCTGGGGCACCTTCACCTGCCTTCTGCCTCCTCCACTGGGAGAACACAGGGGAAGGCAAAGCCACGTCAGCTCAGTCCTCTTTGCTTTTCGTTCCAATGGGGAGGACACGGAACCAACCCAGTCCCCTTCAGCTTTGCTCCTGGCACGTGTGCAAAGGTGTTTTTCCCAGCCTGAAGAAGCGTGCATGCAGCAGGGCCCCCCAGCCCACTTGCTGTGCCCCCCCACATTTGCATAACTTCCTTGGCAAGGGAAGTCACCCTTCTGCCACCTCCCCTCCTGCCAGCAACAATGCATTTTTGCCAGACAGAGGCATCTCCCACTCTTGACCGAGCAGTGCCTCTCCAGTATTTGCCTGAGCTGTGTGGAAGCCATGTCCGCAAAGGGGCATCTCACAGACATCCATGGCAGGGGGCGTCCTGTTGCACTGGCCTCCTGAGGTGCTAAAGATACCTCCGTGTGAGTCCTAGTTGCAGAAATCTGGACTGGTGACCAAATAGACTAAGTCATGAGTGCCAAGGTGCTTGAAGTGTGAACTCTTTGGCACCAGCTACTTTCAGGATTCTACACATTTCAGATGCACTTCTGTAGCACCCTCAAATGTTTCCTTCAGGATGCTGTCCACTTGGTGGACCGGGGGCATGCCCTCAGCAGGCATAGACATTGCAGGACCCTGACACCCACGGCACTTGCATGCCACCTCCATGTGGGACAGGATGGCCTAGAAAACCAAAAGCAAAGATTCTGACAGTACTATCAAAAGGTCTGTGGCATAAACTTTTGTGGGTCATCGCTCTCTCGGATGCATGGAGAGGATACTGTGTTATAAGAAAGAGAGTTTATTATGCTATGCTTCCAAATGATTTCAAGAGAGCCTCCCAAGTAAAGGCACTGATATAATTTGCCAGCACATTCTGTAAAGGACTGTGACTCAGCAAGGACATAGTTGTGGATTGCATAGTAATGTGTTACACCTGCTGTGATCGGCCCTGGGAGGCCAAGCAAGGGGGAAGCGTGCTCCGGCTTCTTTCATCAGCCAGGGGAGCAAAGGCCACTGGGAGGCTGCAGCCGCCATAGCCGGCCCCTCCCTGAGCCCAGAGGAACCCCTCGGCTCAGTGGACTGGGAGAGGCCTTTTGCCCATGCACTGCTCCTGCAGATCTGACTGCCCCTCTTTCTGCATCCAGGAGATGGAAGCACCATGGTGGGGCTGGCACAGACCTGGGAGGTGCCACTGCCAAGGATCACGAGTGGCGAGGCTGCCACTTGATCATGGTGGCTTAAGTAAGATTTACGGACGGAGAGCTTGATGTCGAATTCAAACAGCTTGTGTTTGTGTTTGTTTTGTGGGTCCTGGTGCTACATGGGCTCTAGGACATGGAGCAATGAACTTGAACCACAGGACACCAAGTGCAGGCTAGACACAGGGAAGGAATTCCTAACTGTCAGAGCAATACGACAGTGGGACTGGCTGCCAAGAGAGGTTGGGCTTGGTGGCCTTCTTGGCCTCTTCCACCCCAAGTATTCTATGATTGTGTGATTCATTCCCCAAGGTGAGGAAGGATCCCCATGTCACCAGATAGAATCCTCTTTTGGAGCAAGGTGCTGGGGAGCAGGACAGCCCCAGTTTGTGTGATAGAGTGCCAGCACTCCTACAGCACCAGAAAACTTGGAAAAAGCAGCAGTGCTAGCACGCAACATGGAGACAGAAGGTTGACGCTCCATGGGGAGAAGGTAGATGGCACTTGGTGGTCTCTTCCAGGTGAAAGATTGTCTTCTGGCAGCTCTGGCTCCTATAAAGGGGCAAAGGGAAGCCCAGTTTGGCCCATCAGCCAGAGCAAGAGCAACTGGTGGCATTCCCACAGACAGAAAAAGTGCTGCACTAACTGCTATGTGTTTTTGGACCTCAGTTAGCTATTAGACGTAGATCCTGCCTTTGTATGTCTTATTTTTAAGAAGTCAAAGCGGCTTACATCATTCTTCTCCTCCTGTTCCCCTCAACAACAGCCCTGCACAGTAGGTTGGGCTGAAAGTCTGTGCCTGGCCCAAAGTCACCCTGTGGGTCCCATGGTTGAGTGGGGACTAGAACACAGATCACCAAGCTCTTACCCTCTGCACCACACTGGGTCGCTATTGTGGCCAGCCTCTGCAACTGGCACAGAAAAGCACAACTTACGGCCCTCCAGATATGCTGTGGTCTACAACTCCCACCAGCCCTAGCCAGCATAGCTGATGGGGAGTGTTGATGGCAGTGTAAGCCACAGCATCTGGAGGGCCAGGAGTTGCCCACCTAGGAGCTGGAGGAACAAGGGCTGCTGAGTCTGCTTACCTATCCAAGCAAGACCACCAGTAAAGGGGGACATAAGGACACCGCAAGAGCCCTGCTGGATCAGACCAAGGGTCCATCTCATCCAGCATTCTGCCCAACTGTGGCCACCCAAGTACCCACACGATCCCACCAGCAGGACATGAGTTCAGTGGTACCCTCCCATTCAAGTTCCCCAGCAACTGGTGTGCACAGGCCTGCTGCACACAATATCCCAGCTGTGGCTGCACCTCCGATTTGTATAAGCAAAGTATTTACCAGCAAGTCGATGGTTCAGTTCCTCTTCTAGTTATGCCTAACAGGGCATTTGGCTTTTTCACAACAGCTGCACATTGAGTCTACATTGCCATTGAGCTGTCCTCCAAAATGCCAAGATCCCTTCCTCGGTCAGTCACTGCCAGCTCCATTCCCACCAGTTGCTACATGAAGTTGGGGTTTTTAGTTCCACTTCTATACCTGCAAACAGTGAACCACATATGAGTGCCTGGTTGCAACTTGCCACTTTATTCTGGATTTGTCAAACCGATTTCCTTCCTCTACATTCATCCTCCTTTTATTCCCCCTTGTGTGCTTTGTCTTTCTAGTGCAGCCTCTAATGGGCTACAACTTTCCACATTGCTTGCTGGGAGTCAGCAGCTCCCATCCTTTGGGGGGCACTACTATGGGGAAGGCTGCTTTAGTGTGTGAACCTGTGGACAGAGCCTTGGTCGAATTGTTTTCTAACTGATGTGAGCTGCTTTGGGAGACAATTGCTGGAGTAACAAGCCACAGTGAGATGTGCGTGGAGAAATACATGCCAGGACATTTTGAGCCACGGGGGGGGAAAACACCTTTCCTGGGCAGGTTCAGAAAAAAACATGCATTTTAGAGCACTCTTTGCAGAGCGAAAGTCACTTGGGGCGCAATCCTCCAGCTTTCCAACGTCGTCCAGGAGCAGTGTGATTATCTGGCATTCTGGCTCAGCAGGACTCTCTCTGCCCCTCCTCACAGCTGCTGCAGAAAGACTGCACTGGCTGCGGGTCTGAGGTCCAAAATCAACCTCAGGCAGGGCTACAGGGGTGTCCCGGGGATGGAGAGGGGAGGAAACTGGAACTGGAGGTTTCCACATGTCCTAAAAGAGCACCACCCTCCTTCCCTTCCCTTCCCTTCATGGAGCTTCATCCAGGTGGCTGAAAATGGCTGCTCAGCTGAAAAACAGGGCACGAGGTGATGGAAGCCACGCGTCTCTCCTTGCAGCGAATGTATGCGGAGGATGCTGTGCATCACAGGCAAACCACACAGAATTTTGCTCTTGGTTACTTTAGCCACAGAGCGTGCGTTCTGTCTAACGTGGTTTTCTCCTAGGATAATTAGAATTGAAAGCAAAAGAAAACTAAGTAAAGTTGTAATTGTCTGAATGAAGTGTACTTTTAAATTTAATATATGAAACATGACCATTCTGGAGCGACACACAATGCATTTAGGTTTCCTGTTTTATACTTGGCAAGGAGGAACTTCAGCAAATAGCCCCTGTAACATCTAAATCATTCCAACAGGCAGATGAAAGAGGAAGCGGTGACAGCAGGGGAAGGCTGGCGTACAGCACTGTTTGGACCCAGGCCCGGTTCAGTGGAACTGCACACGCTCTGCATGCAAGAGGCTACAGGCTCGTCTTGAGCATCTCCAGCTGAGGGTGGAAAAACAGCTGGCCGCCCTGAAGCTGCATCGGGTCAGCATGCACAGTGCTGGGCTGGAGGGATGCAGTCCGAGGCAGCCACCCATGCTCCTGTGTGAAGCAGGGAAGTTCCTGAGAGTTTGTCTAACCGGGAAAGATGCTTTCACCTTTCAGGTTAATGTTAATAAAGCATTTTATTTACAAACCTTTCCTTCTGTTACCTATTATTCAAAGAGTGACACTTGATTCCTTTTTTTGTAAATACTAAAAACCCTTAATTTCTGTTCTATTGGAAAGGTTGTCCCTAAGCAATGGTGGTAATCCCCATGTCTACACCATGCAAACCAGGCTAGTGAAGATCTTAGTAGTGGCAGCAGCATTAATGTTATTAGGCATAAGGGGGTTTATTTTGGTGAAAGTAGTTAAAGGTTTCATAGCTGAGGCAGCACTTCCTACTGCTGAGGTCCCACTGGGGGACTTCGCAAAAACTGGTGGCAGTGACTTGATCCTCATAAGTTGTTGGGCTTCTGTTCCTATTTTTAAAAGGAGCATAAGTGAGATGACCACAAATTGTTTCATTGCAT